CACACACACACACACACACACACACACACACACACACACTGTGAAATAGCCATACCTACTTAGGAGAAGGTCCCAAAATGAAACAAATATGTTAAGATCAGGATCAAGACAGGATGGACTGGCAGGGCATTGTAGTGGAGTCTGTGTAGCCCCTGGACATGTTATATTCTCCACTCAAGCTGTTATCATTGATTGTTTTATGAACTTTCTTAAAATGGAAAGAAAACAACAGAATGGGTTGGAAAGGTTTAGGAGTGGAGAAGCTACTTCTTTTTATTTTTATTTTGAGTCCAGTGCAGGTCAGTAGAGACCAGGATTTGGGCCATATCAAATGGTTTCTTTGGTGGTCAAAGGTTCAGTTTCCAGTGGACAGGTGTCCATACCACAATTCACGTCCTTTTCAAAAACTACACTTCTTACAGAATTAACAGGAATAATAGCAAAACTATCACCCAATCATGACATGTTGTCCTTCTAGGCAGCAAAGGGAAGCTTGCACTGGCAACAACAGATGATTTTAAGTGCTCATGTTCTTCAGCCTGTTCACTTCCATATCTACTAGCAACATCACAGAAGAAGTAAAAATGTAGGAAAATATTGGTAACCTCTTGTTCAGTTGTTTAGTTCTTGTGTAACTTCCCATAACAGTTGGTAATGGGAAAGGGGCACTGGCACACTGTTTGCATTTATTTGTGAATGGCTTTGGAAGCTGGTACATTATGAAAAGGGAGAATGGGGCAAATTTGATAGTCTGTAGGCTATGAAGATTAAAAAGACACTGGCCAGTTCTAAACTCTGCCTTGATTTTACAGGTAAGCACTCATATCAAACACTAAACGTACACCAAGGTGGACTTGATCGTTTCCCTCTTTATAGTACTGTTTAACATACACAGCAGATGTATCTGCCTTTGATTGTTATCAACCTGATGAGTGAACCAACTTACCAATATCAGCAATCAGGCTGCCTGGTTCTTGATTTGAAATGAACTTCTGTACCTTTGGCCAAGCTTTGTAGCGTGTGTCACTGAAATGAGGAGCAATTTTCTCATACACATGATGGACATGGTCCTTCTCCAGCTGGCTTGCCTCCTTCTCCATTATAAAAACATTAGGATAACTCACTGAACCCAGGGCAATATTCCTAGAGAAGCTAAGAGGAGGAAACAAACACAAGAAAGGCATATTAGAAACATGGGTGGTCTGTTTCCAAAATTCAGCCATAAACTTTAAGCAGTGCGGTGCAATTAGTTTTTAAAAAAATTATCTCTATTTACCGCTTGGGATGGGATATCTTCATAAAGAGAAACCATTGTTATTTTTAATGTAAAAAAGGATCGTTGTTCTTTCTGTGCTGCTATCCAAAGTCATAATATATTGACTTTGAATATATTTTATAGTGTAAAAGGAATATTGAAGGAATTCTAAAAATCTTGACATCTTGACGTTTACTGCTGGACTAGTAACTTAATTTTGTTGCTGTACCTCAGAAGTTGTAAACTTGGGCTTCAAGGCACTCTTTTCCATGAACTTTCAACAAAAAAGAAAGATTTCTAGCTTAGGAAGAAAAATCTCAAAAATATGAACAGGGCATAAACTGATGTATTGATGCCTGCCAAAATCTTCTCCCGATCAGAAACAATAGAATATTGTTTATAGAACACTGAATAGACTACGATACAATAGTAGCATTGGAAATGACCTCATGATATTATGTAGTTCAACCTCCTGCTCAAAGCAGGATTGTTTCTGACTAAATTATCAGATTCAGGTTACAGTCCCCTGTAACCCACGGTGCTGCAGTTTGGTCAGTCCTTCCTAATCTGCATCTGTGTATGCAATTGTTCTCTCCCAAGGGCAGGACTCTGTACTTGTCTTTACTGAATTTCATTTGAGTGATTTCTGATCATTTCTCTAGTCTATCCAGGTCATTCTGGATCCTAGTCCTCCCCTCCAGAGTGGATGCAACTCCACCCACCATGGTACTGTCTGCAAATTTACCAAGTGTACATATACTCAGTCCCCCCCTCCAAAACAGGGCTGTCCAGCTCCTCAGTGGCCAGAGGCTGCATGAAGTGGTGGCTGCATGCTGTGTGGGCTCCCTTGCCATGCACCCCATGTGCACACATGGGCTCCCCCACCATCATGGAGTCTTCCCTGCACTCCCCCTGACCTACCTCAACTCTCACTGCCACACAAGCTGCCGTGCAATGCGCCCCCACACATACAAGGGGGCTCCCTTGCCACTATGAGGTCCCCCAGGACTCCCCCTGCCTTGATCTCCCACTGCCAAGCCACCTTGAACTCCTGTCACCACACGGGATCCCCTGCCACCTGGATTATAAAGTCCCAGGCTCTTCAGGACTTGCTGTCCTACTCCCAGGGGGGTTGGGACAGGAATTGCAAGGCAAACAAGGGAGAGGGAGCCCAGAGGCTCCAACAGCAGCAGCAGCCAGAGCCCTGAGGAGAGCAGCACCTGGGAGAGAACAGTTTAACCCGTTATTGGCCACATGGGCTGCTCCAAATCATTAACGAAGGTAATAAAATCAGGCCCAGGATAGACTCCTGGGGAACCACACTCAATACCTCCTTGCAGCTAGACATAGAGACACTGAAGACTACTTGTTGACTACAGTGATTCAATAAGTTCTATATCCACCTTACAGTACTTTCATCTAGTCTGTATTTCCTTAGCTTATTTTACGAGAGGTTTTGAGCTCAAATCTCAGTAGAACCTTAAATTAGCCCTCTAGTTCTAAGATGTGCAAACTGCCCCATTCACTTATTCAGTGTCCCATTTGCATGCACTGGCCTGAATGGTCTACGCTTGAGGATTTCCTGTTTGTCAATCCATTCATAAGATTTCTGAAGCAAGATAACTTTGGCTCTTTAAGCTTGGCTGGATTGGCACAATGCATTGATTTCAGTTCTAATCACAGGAAAATAGATAGGCCTGGTGACTAAAATCCAGCCAATTGCACCCCAATCCTTTTTGACACATTAATTCACTGAGAACTGATGAGAGACTCTATGGAAGCTATGAAAGTTGTTAGCTCCTTTTAAAATAAACCCATTAATACAAGTCTTTCCTGTTATTTACTCGAAGTTGGCAGTTCTTCATTCAAGCCAAAATTCATACCCTTTCTTCTTGGATGCAGTTGGCAGCTACAGGTCAGACTTAAAGAATCAGGCTCCTGTGACCTTTGAGTAAGAGTTCCTCAAAAAAAAGAAAGAAAGAAAAATGATAATTGTTTGTTCTGCTTATAAAAATCACTCCCCGAATTCACAGATAAGATCAGTGTTTTGGGTCAATGCTTGCTAATTCAGGGTCCAATTTGGCCACATTTATGCACATGGAATAATATTGTAGTCTTAATTTCCTGTTGTTTTCCAAGTAGGTAACAGTAGAAAAGTGGGGAAGGCACTACCACTAAAGAATTGGGCTCTACAGCCACACTTGCAGATGTTCAGTAAGCTGATGCCTCACTTGGCACAATTCGATTGTCCTTTTATCTCTTTAAAACTGGATTGCTTTGCTTTGTTTCCATACAAAAGGCACCCACAACCTACAGATGGTTCTCTGCAGGCTCTCTCTCCTCTACAGGGCCCATTATACCACCATTCTGTACTCTTTTGTTGGTTGCCAGCCTGGTTTGGATACAGTTTAAGATCTTGGTTCTTATTTTAAATGTCTTCACTAGGTGGGTTAAGATCCAGCTGTGTCAAAAACCAGTGCTCTCTTAGATAAGTTTAAAAAGAAAACTGCAGCATATTGGGCCTGCATTCAAATCTACCCAACCAACGGTAAGGAATCCCTTATGAAGTACCTTTGGTTTCACCATTTATTAACAACTAAACCTTCAACCTCAGATTTGCTCTCTTTCATCAGGCATTCTAACATCACTGTAAAATGGCCAAGACAACCTGCTCCTAAAATAAATTAGCCATCTCAAACTAACTACAGGAACTAGTTTCTTCTGGAGGCTCATTGCTGTACTTTTTTAAGTATGTGATGGGATCTAGTTATTACAGTGGTTGCCACTTTCAAAATGCATATAATAGATGATAGGGAAATAACAGTAACCATTACTTGTCTTGCTTTTAGTCTTTCTTGTTCAGCAGTACATTGGCTGGTAGAAATGAGTATGGCACCATTCTGCAATCACGTAAGTGCTAACCTTCATGCATGTGAGTAACCCTACTGAAAGTGAATTTGGTGGGGCTGCTCACTGACAAAGTTAAATACAAGCAGTAGCATGTGCATGGCTG